GCCTCATCCCAATTTGGAGTCACTCAAGATATTTTTGATTAAGGCAGCCGCCGATATTGACATGGACCTCGTTCGTGCTGCGATACTGGCCGTGCAGATTGAAGGCCTGTATGTATTCAAAATCACGGAGGGCATTTTGAATAAACTTTATTGTCATAAGAATCTATGTTTTGTTAAGTTCATTTTGGTTTATAAATGGTTACATAATGAATAAACTTGTTTCAATTATTTTATATTAAACATGTGACAGAATTTATGACCTGACTAGGTATATCTACAGCCCAATCGGCGCCTACATAAGTGCATTACAAATATAACAAAACTCGCAAGGCATTCTTACCCCTCGTTTACACCAAGGTAATACATATATTTGTCAAATTTTATACGTCTTACTTATTTGTTCACACTTTATACATTTATAATACATATAGTATACAAATACAAATTACTTGCGTTTGCATCAAACTTGATATTTTTCAGCCAAATTTGCGATATACTTTTCCTGATTCAAAGTCATTCGTCCAATAGCGTGATGTGATTCGTTTGTTTTGTAATGAAAAAAATTCGAGCGAACCAGCAATGGTCACATTTTATCAGGACGACGCCTTATAGCAGCGCGTATTATAAAAGCTTCCGTCGGTCGGCTCCTTTCCTCCGTGCGTAGAAAAACTCTCAGACAAATGGAACTGGATCTGGAAATTTATGTTGGTATAATCTGTACTTAAGTTTCTCCAGCACACCCGCAAAGTGGATTCTGTTGGCTTACTTAACAATGGCCAGTCGCATTTTGGGGCTTTCAAGCTGTAATTTTGATGAAACCTTTCTCATGCCATCCCACGAGTGACCTCGTTTTATAATCTCCTGATTCGACCCGGGAAATGGTACACTAAAGAGAGCGAGTAAAGCTATTTATTCACTAGGGGAATCATTTAATCTGCCAATGTTTTGAAGCTAATGCTTATTGGTGCATAACTTTGCATCGGAACAAGGCATTCTGCTAAATACGAGTAGTACTGGAAGCTTGTACAATCGAGATTGGAACGGAACGCTTTGCTTTGGACGCACTGGGCGTAACGTTGAGTAGTTTTAAGTTTTTGCTTCCTTCCTAGTAAGTGTGTGGGTAGTGTAAACTTCAATTTATAATGATGAATTAATGAAGTAGGCACCACATACATGTATTATGGTTTCTATTTATTCTGTTACAAGTGTTCAATATGATTGGCAAGAAAAACAATTATTTGGTGGTCAGATTCGCACACAAACCATTCTTCGCCATAGTTCAAAAAATAACATTTTAATCACACCAATAAAATTTTCATTTCATTCCCTCTTTAATTCTTAGTTTTAGTATTTTTTTAAATTATTGGTTATCATTACAGCTGCAATAGGAATACACATTCTGTAACACTGTCTCTGGATGGATCATGAAATACCAGTACACAGATGGATAGGAAATGTTGAAGGACGGATTGGTGTTGAATTGAAACTGGCATGATTCTCTAAACTTAAAACTAAATTTAACTAACATCAGTCTCTCCTTTTCTTTCTGTATAGAGAATGACAAGGAAACACTGTTGTCAAAGTTAGTTTTAGGTTTAGAGAATAATGCCGCAATCAACACCAGTGTTTGTTTTGTTTATTGTAGCTTGGAATAGTATAAAAGATTTCATATCCCAATAGGGGTGATGACGGGGTACAGTAAACGAAATTCTATTTAGTCCGTCAGTTAGATAATCAAAAAATAATGGACACGTATTTTTTCTTTGGGCAATCAACCAAAAAATGACAAAGTTATAGCGCGTCAAAGTTTGTTTTATGTGAAAAGAGAAAAAATATGTGTATAATACTTTTTGGTAATCTACCTGATAAACGAAGAAAAAAAAATTAGTCATCATCCCTATTGGATAACCGCAACATGATGTTATGTTAGAAAACTATTACTTATCTGCAAAAGCAAATTTTAACATTTGATGTAGAACATTTTCAATTAATTTTAGGCTGCAAGAATATTATATATGTACCTATATCTTTATATATATAATTCTTCTGTGAGTGTGTATGTCACTGAACTTCTCTTAAACGACTGGACCGATTTTGATGAAATTTTTTGTGTGTGTTCAAGGGGATCTGAGAATGGTTTAGATTCACAATTTTGTCCGCTGGACAACCCCTATTTTTTTAGGGCGGTACGAAGTTCGCTGGGTCAGCTAGTACCTATATAAGAGAATAAATTATAAAATTTATAGATTTCAACAAACATTGAACAGCTACCCAGGTTCAGAAGTAAAATTAAAAATAACTTGAAATTGATTTAATTTCAAGGTAACCAGAGGAAAATAAGATGCCAAACAGGTATAGGCCTCAGCAAACTTCTTGAATATCATCCATAGACAAGGATGCCTGCGCAGTAGCAATTTTACATACAAAAAGTTCTACTGCTCTAGTATATTTGTCTGTGGTTTTGCAAAAGAAGTTTGCCTATAATATTAATAATATAAATCAGCATAACATTCCAAAATGGAAAAGAAACATTTTTTGAATTAGGTACAATAGGTAACATTTCTTTTTGTGCTTACTTTGGGGCTAGGCTAATTGGTGTGAGTGTTTGAAATATTTTAAATCAAATATGTTACTATTTTATAACTGTAGTAGGTATTTTGAATTTTTTTGCTGTATTTGTACACATAATTATTTTGTCACAGTTCCTTATTGTTATAATAAGTGGGATAATCTTTATATTTATATGAATGCATATCTAAAGCTGTAATAAAATAAGTATGTAGTATATATTCTTCCTGCTTCGGAAGGCACTTTAAGCAGTTGGTCCCGGCTGCATCTGCAGTTGTTAGCACGCATGGACTGGTGCACTGGGACTTGTGATGGGTTACGGTCTGAAACTACCTATTCCATCCATAGGGAAGGCCTGTGTCCCAGCAGTGGGGAAATTATTAGGCTGTTGATGATGTTGAATGTTGATATATTCTGTGGGTACTATATGGTCTATTCATTTTTGTACAAACATATTTTACAACTACTATTGGAACTTACATATAAGCCCTGCTTCCATACTAAATAAAAGCACATGATTTTGATGATTGAAACTTTCAATGATTTAAACCCTATAGAGGAAGAAGGCAGCAATCAATATTTCAGGCCTTGGGAGCAATGTAATATAATTTGATGCTCAATGAGTTGTTATAGTTATAAAGGTGTCGATTCTAGCATTATTCTCTTAACCTTAAACTAAATTTAACATCAGTCATTCCATATATTCTGTATAGAGAATGACAAGGAAACACTGTTGTCAAATTTAAGTTTAGAGAATCATGCCAGAATTTTATGTACAAATGCAACCAACTATTTTTAATAAATTTAAAGTTGTATTTATGCATCATCAGCATCAATATTGTTGTATCCAGTATGTACTTAAATATAAATTTTGTCATGAAAGGAAAGAGATAGATTTGATCTAGAACCAATATTTAATGTAATATTTTACTTATGCAGTGCAAGGCCAAACAATTAGCAACATAAATAATACAAGATACAGTTTTCAAAACAAAACATAATATTAAATATTGATTGCATTTAATAAAGGTGTCGAATTATTTAAATTCATCTGGTTGACCAGTTCATCTAGTTACCTAATCAGAACTTCTCAAAACGAGGCGAGGTATATTCAATGATTGAAACAAAAAATGACCTCTTTTTGGGCAAGCATTGCAGGCTGTATACATTGCTTGTCTTACCTTATCTCCTGGGATATTTTTTGCCGACATGGTGTCACCTTCCTATCCTGTGGTCCGACGTCGTGAGGACGATTTATCCAAAGAAAAGCCCTCGGTGTTGCCTTGACTGGCCAACATACGACACAAAACACTTCACTTCATCAATCACTTGGCCATCATCACTAGTGGCACAACGCATCAGAAACACAAACACAAAGACCGACCCATTGTTTGGAGTCGTAATCAGCACGATTTCCCATTGAGATTCATCGACACAGATAATTTTTTCACAACACTATACACAAACACAACGACTGACAGAAGCTAACTTGATTGAGCTCGGCCTTTGACGTAAAATGGCGAGGGATGGACGGTGACCCCCCGCCGCTCGCCCCGCGCATGCCATCTTGTCCGAAGCTTTAGAGGGCAGCACAAGCCTTTGTGACAAGCACAACGCGGCAGCAAAGCACAAAGCAACTGCATCACAAGAAATACAGAATCATTTCCATAGATGTCACTAAAATAAAAATCTGTAAAATAATATGTACAAAGGTGCACAAAATACATACTATGTGTTAATAAATAAATACTGACTGAGAAATAATTACCTGCCATTTTCAAAACTTAATAAGACATAATACTATTGATATAAAAAAAAACCCAACATCCTAGTCTTATGAACTCTTGTTACGACGAAGCATGAAAAGGATCGAAAACATCATTGAACCTGGAAAAATAATAATAAATATGAAATACGATAATAATTTCTTTTAGTAATAATCAATTTACAATAATTTGTATGTTTAACCTATGAACTTATTTAAGTAATTGTCGTGCCATCTATTAGTACGATACTTAAACTTAACCCAGATCCGGAAATGAAAGTGAGAATGTTATTTTTAATGGAATGAAAAGGATAAACAAACAGCCTAGTTTTCAATAATTATTTTCTGTGGATTAATATAATAAATAGAAATATATCTTCATCAGTTTATGATTGATTTTTCTTGAAATAAAATACCCACAAAAATTACCTAATAATGTAATGAAAGATGAACAGAATAATTATCACTGCCTTGGTGGTGGTATCAAGTAAGTTCATTTAAATCCGTTCAGTAGTTTTTGTTTAGTAGATTGAATAACAAACATACAAACTTTTACATTTATTATATTAAGTAGGATATATGGTATATATTATAGTTAAATAGAAAAATACTCTAATATCAATAAATCTCTGTTATAATGTGTACCAGTCAGTACCGAATATTGCACGCAAGCCATATTTTCACAGATAAATTTTAGAAAGACAGTATAAGAAACAGATTTATTAACAAAAATGTATTGATGAATAAATTAGATCTGTTTTAAAAATCAATAATTATATTTTCTCTGCGCAAGTCGGTACATTTCAGTATTTTCTTTGAGGTGCTTTGGTATTTTCGTAAAATTTATTCTGGTCACACTGATTTCATTTTTCATTTCATTCCATTCCTTAGCGTTTTTCTCTCTCACTGATCGCGTTTGTTCGATGTGCGTTCGATTCGCAAAATGGCGGACGGAGGCGTCGACATAGATCTTTACGCTGATGATATTGAATCAGATTTTAATAGACAGGTACGGTTTATTTTAATGTGATTATAAGAAAGTATTTTCTCTTTTATATGTAATTATTGTTGCGATTATTCTCGTGTTTTACGTTGTAAATCACCGTGTTTGGGCGGCGTTTTGCAGGACGAGTTTGGAGGCGAGAATGTGGATTTATACGATGACGTGATCGCTGCTCCGCCTGCGAAACCGGAGGATGGCGATGGGCCGCCGAATTCCGGAGCTCCACAGCATGCACACCCTCCCGAAGAAACAAATGGCAACGCTCCATATCACCACGCACCCAGCCACCATCATGGCCGCCGCTTTCAACTTTACGTCGGCAACCTCACTTGGGTTTGTACATGATTTTGTTTCATTTAGTAATGTAAATAAATACAGCAATATGTCAAATGTTCCTATGCCTGGCTCTTTCGAAAAATTGAAACAGATGTTTCTTTAAATTGCCATCTGATATCGCTGGTTTTGTCAATATAAGTAATTGTTTTTGGCATATTTGAAAATGTGCCATCATGGGGTAAAATTGTTTACTCTTGACTCATGACTTCAACTGACTGTATAATCATAACATTTGTTTAGTAATACAGATAAACTTGTCTTGAATAAAACTTTGTAATGCTCTATCTCAAAACATAATCAAATATCGAATTAAATTAACGTAAAAACATAATAGGTGCTAACATGTTACTTACTTCTTATTATGGTTAACTTTTTGAGTAATTTTGATTGTAATTTAGTTCATTTGTGGGAATATCTTATGATATAAAAAAAGACTATGCTTTGATTAGTTATTGCATTTTTTGTCTCTGTCTATTGAATGGCAAATGGCATTTGAGTGACATTGACAAAACACGGCGTCACTAGTCTTACCTTATTCCTTGTTTATTAATAAGGGGGTTAGTGTACATAATATAAGGGTGTTGTAATAAATGTAATTGGTAGTTTTCTTAAATGAGACTTTTTTTTTTATAATAAGTGTAAATTTTATTAAATATTTCAATTAAGTATGAACCCATTTCTAAAAACATTATACTAACCACGGTAAATTTCTAAAACAGGGAGGATCATGTTACAGAAGAATGATAAATGATTACTTAACATTTTGCAACCAATCTTTTTTAGCTGTGTTTTGAGGATATCTCTTAGTTCTGATCTTATCAAACTTTTATTATAATGATGTTTGCTTATTCAAAACAAAATATTGACTAGAATTATTTGGCAATGTCCCTAATTCACCATTTGATCAGATGGTATGTAGTTGAATACATAATATCAGTTTAATGTTGTTAATTATTATTAGTGTTTCAAGACTAAAAATTTGTTATTCAATGTCATACAATAATAGTAATGGAATGTCATAGATTTTGAAGTACCTCCTAATGTTAAGGGGTTAAGGTTATTGTAATTTCTTAGTGGATAAGACATTTGATTAAATTTTTTATTCACTTGAACTCTATAGGTTATGTTGGTATAACAAAAAAATATTATTTCAAAGTATTATTAATTTATCAGTTCTATAAATGTAATGTTTCTAAGCTTTATTACAAAACCAGTGGGTCAAATGGCATTTTTTTAAGTAGATTACATTTACAAAGTATTATGACATACAGTAATGAATGTACATTTACAAAGTATTATGACATACAGGAGTTAATGAACTGTGATGATGAATAGTTTTATTCAGTCAAAGTAAACTACATTCAATGATTATAAATATTACTTAGTATTATTATTTATGGATTATGTTAAAATTAATGATGCAATATTTCTATGAAGAACTATGATATTTGTTTTGTGGTGAAGTAAAAGACAGTAACATTGGTTCTATTTTGAACACCAATTGAACTATGCTTGAAATAGCATTTATTTTTTAAATTTAACATTCCATAACTTTACTACTTAAAATCATCATAAGAATAATAATGGGTATAGCAGCTGTTTTTGTCACTTAATATATATTGTTATCTCATGGACTCATGCCAGTCTCTACTTAAAAGTCGGTTGAAAAGATCAGGGACTACCATCAATTGCAGCTGTGTTGTTGGCTGTATGTTATTTATATTAGTGTCCGACCGAAATGGGTTCTTCAGCAAAACCAAAATTTTAGCTGTGCACTCACTTTAGCCCAAAATAGAAATTGAAATTAACATATCTTATTAAAATTTTAATAATAATAAATCTTTATTGTATTTTTTTTATATAGTAAAATCTAGTGTATTTTTTACACATTTATTTACATGTACAATGTAAATTATACATACAGACAGTTTAATAAAGCATGTAGGTAAGAAATAAAGTTTGTCAAAGTAGGACACTCTTGGATGTAAACTTTTCCGAAAACAACATTCAGTTAGACTTAAGCGCCATTTTCACAATACAATTTTCTTGTACATACAAGAGCAGTAATGGTATACAATTATGGAGCATGTCCGATTAGGCATCTCCTGATATTCATATATCTCCATATTTCTCATGAACCAGTGTGCACTTGAGATAGTTGTTAAAGCGATATTTTGGTATTTCTGTAAGCCCCAGAGTTCTATATCGTACGTCCAGACAGGTCTAAAAATTAATATTTATAAGAAAAAAAAATACACGTAATAAGTACCTATCCAAACTGAGATGACTGAGCTATAATACCTATGCATTGTCTCATAGTAAAATTTAAAAATAAAGGTGACACACAGTAAAATCATAGCTTTACTTAGGCTGCCTTATTTCAAAAATAGGCACACGTTGTCGAGTTGCGGTAACAGCATCATTAATTGATTTACACCTCGTTGGTATGTTGTAAAAAAGAAACATCTGCTTCAATTTAATCAGTTTATACTGTGACAGCTACAAAGAGACAGGTTTTAAATTGGAATTCTCTATAATAATATTATATAACATGCCTTATACAGCAGACTCTTCTGCTTTGTAAAACAAATAAAAATTGATGGACCAGTACTATGGTCTATCGATTGATTTTTTGACAAAATGCTATACAATAGCAGTGATAGAGGAAGTACAAGTATTAAACTATTAAACTATTTTATTCTAAATGAAGTTTTGTATGATTCAATACTTGTTCTTGCTGTTTCTGCAAATTTTTGAAAGGTAATTTACAATGGTTGGAAGACTTTTAAATTCATAGACAGAGATATTGTACAGTTAGCAATAAATATTAAATGTAGTCACATTTAATATGTTGTGCCTAATCAATGAGTAGTGGTGATGAGTACTTACTTGTGATTATCTAGATTCTAAACTGCCATCTGTGTCACCTGTTAAAAGCACTGTGGCAGCAACCAAGACTTCATTACTTTACTTTTTTATTTTTAAGCCTCAAATAAAAGGTTATTCTCATAGTTTTAATTTATCAATTATCTAGTGGTACCTGGTTGAGTCTGGTTAATCAAGTTTCTACTGCAATTAAACTCCCAATGTTTATGAATAATCTATTATGAATTCAATCCACTTATTTACTATATATTTTTTGTTTTATTTGATATTCATTGTTAACTGTACCCAAAAAGTTAAGAACTTTTAAATCTATGTGGTTTTAAAATTTCACGGCCATAATTTACTTGTACTTACATCACTTACCATTTGTTATTTTGTTTCTTACTGTTTCCTATAAAAAGATAATAATTCAAAGAGATATTTTCAGTTGAATAATGTCAAAATCACAATCATTTGTTGTATTAAGTCTGAAGTTTCAAGATAATTATAAACATTTAGAATTCAAAAATTAGGTAACATATTCATTAGCAATGTAAAATTATTAAGACCAGTATAATGCCATCTTCTGGTAGTTCTGAATAGAAATCTGTCAAAAGAAGTCATATTTATTCAGGGATTTCACCCAATACCTTTAAGATTAATTTGACAGTTAAATCTTCTATTCACATAGTACAGTATGCAAATATAACTCATGAGAAATTTTAATACTTAAATATTAATAACTTGATATTTGTAATAAAATATGTTTAAGATGTATAAGCAGTTAGAGCATGTAAGAAGTATGTAGACATCATGTTGTTCAGGGTATTTCTGTAATGCACAATCTGTGTACTATGATTTTGTCTCAATTCTGAATGTTTGTTAGTTTCAAATACTTCAAATTGCTTCCACTTGTAATAACCAATTGTAATAGATTTATAGAGGAAGCTAAGCATTTGATCAACAAAATATCAGAAACATGACGAGATAAGAAAACATGGTTAAATGATTGTTGCTTATTGTAAAAACTTTGTAGGTGTAGATGAACTTAGCACTTAAATACTTTCTTAATTTATCAATTACTACATAACTGTAAATATCTCTTTGATGGTGTATTATTAGTATGGAATATCTGTTTTAATATGACTGTTTTTTTTGACAAATCTATCATTATGTATGTGAGATTTTTTGGACTTTATGAAGTTTGTTTGTTGACTGATGAGGGATGTATGATTGTGTTTGTACATACAATGTTCGTGTGTATCTATTTATAAACTCGAGTTTATAATTCCTTGTGTGAATTCCTATAATCCAATTTATCAGTTGAACAAAAAAATATAACTTTATATGTTTATATTATTATTTTGTATTGCCCAGATATGATTTAGATAACATGATTCTGAAGGCTATGCCTTTCCCCTTAATTTATTCAGTACACCTAGCACTATTGTGATCATGGCTTTAATTCATGATATTTGTCATTTTTGTAGGCTAAAATAGTCTAGACATGATATTGTCATTCATTACCGTAGTCTAGATCAGTGGTGGGCAAACTATTCAATATAGGCTATAAGATAAATTTTACAGGTTACGGTAAAATTTATATTGATGTGGCAAGTCATATGTCACAAATTGATTCTGCATACCCAACTCAAAACACTAGTGAGCTGGGTGTTAGCCTGCTACGGCCTGTACAGCAGTTTGTCCAAGATCTTGTGGCGCGTGGCCGAATTCGGAACTAATTTTAGCATGATATAAAATGCAAGGCATTTATTTTTAGAGGATGGTTTAAATAATCCTTTGATATTTCCTATTAGTCTTTCCGAGATATTTTTAATTATAACGTTCCATTTAGTGAGGAGATTTTAAGTAATTTGTGCCATAATTCCCCACCTATTAACCGGCAGCGCTCTCCTGTCAATGTCATAAAAGTGCCACAACATCTTGGTCGCGCTGTACTTCTGCTACGGCCTGTACAGCAGTTTGTCCAAGATCTTGTGGCGCGTGGCCGAATTCGGAACTAATTTTAGGATGATATAAAATGCAAGGCATTTATTTTTAGAGGATGGTTTAAATAATCCTTTGATATTTCCTATTAGTCTTTCCGAGATATTTTTAATTATAACGTTCCATTTAGTGAGGAGATTTTAAGTAATTTGTGCCATAATTCCCCACCTATTAACCGGCAGCGCCCTCCTGTCAATGTTATAAAAGTGCCACAACATCTTGGTCGCGCTGTACTTTGCCTATCTCTGGTCTAGATGGAATGGAGGACATTTTGTATTTATGACAAATTAATTATTTTTTGTAGAATGACTTGCCTGAAATACGCTTTTTTTGAAATCACAATATTGGGTACAGACTATGCTGGATGGCAATACTATTATATTTATATACTTACCCAATATTTTGGTTTTTGATTTGTATTTTAACAATTTTTCTTTATCAGGTTTAAAAAGGAGGTAAGGTGATCATTGCTTGTTTATTGTAGTTTATGTGCAATTTTGTTTAGGATAGAATACTATTTTTTTTAATTGTGTTTCTGAAAATTTACTGGTTTTGAATGTGGTGTAACGACGTGTTCAATTATTGTAATAACTAAATGGTAAGATTTATGTATAATGGTAAGTTTGTGTGTAAAGGTATCACGTATTGAAACATAATTAATTATGTTTGACGAATGACGATGGGTATTTTAAACATTATGGTATTCATTATGCGAATTATTCCTCTTGACGTAGTATGTATCGTTTTGTTCAGAAATGTTATTAATATCTTGTGTCGGTTATTATTCTGTTATTGATTAGTCAACATGTCTAATTGTTTTCGTTGCAAAAACATTTATGTCAATTATTAACTTTTTCGGGCTGTAACCGCGTTAATTCTTAGACTAGATTGTTTATTTTTATTCATGATTTTAAAACACAAACAGATGTTGTTATGGTTTTACTACTGCATTTTTTTACCAATAGCGAATCATTATTTATCTAATTAAAAATAGTAGGTACCTGATTAAACTGTATTTTCATGACCTAAAACATGCTGTTCAACAATATCTATTCTTTCGAAAGAAATTACGATTGACGATTAATTTAAAAGTCGTTCATATTTTTTGAATGAAATATGTTTATTCTTTATTATATTCAAGTAAAATTAAAGTGTCGAATATATAGTTAAGATGATAATATCTAATTTGTACAAAATTTGCCTCTTTGTCCAAGAGGGCTTTTTCCAACTAAATGTCCGAATTGCAAACTGTTTTATTAAATTAACAAAATTTGTAGTAAGGCTGTACCATTAAAATGGTTTTGTGATATTTGATATATCTGTGATATGCTAATGAAATAAAAAATATGGTTCAAAATAAAGCTTTTCCTTTTTCCCAACGTCTCCTTCGCGTATTTGTTTGAGGAGTAATTCAGTATTGAGAATTAAATTATTTAAACTGAGTCAGATTTTTATATTGCACAGTGACGGTAGTAAAGGAAATAAAAACTCGTACTAAATAAAGTATAACGGACACGAATCGGTTTTGTGAAAGTTTTCAAGATTTCTCTGCTTTAGTAATAATAGGTTGAAATTAGTCAAAGGTGAGACCGCGATATAAAGGGAGGTAAAATCCGTATCGGGTTTGTCAAAACTGTGTCAAAAAATGGTGATGCCAAGTACGTATTTAATATATTACTTTGCTTAGCCCGTAATTGTTATAGTAGTTGAGTTTGTGGGTCACCTTTTTTCAGTGGGCAACGGATCAAGACATAGCTAATGCCGTCGCCGACGTTGGCGTGACGGATTTTCAAGATGTGAAGTTCTTCGAGAATAGGTCGAATGGACAGTCGAAGGGGTTCTGCGTCATATCTCTCGGGTCGGACCAGTCGATCCGCATGGTCATGGATCGACTGCCGAAGAAGGAGATCCACGGACAACATCCAGTTGTCACAATGCCAACTAAACAGGTAAAAATATCAGAACCACTTAAATACAAAATAATCCATTACAGTGGATGCACGATCCATCAAATGTAAATCTGATGTTTATTATAATCGCTATTGGTCACTATGCAATTCACCATATAATGAAGGGTTAGGTTAGATCTCACTTTTGACCATTAGGTTATGTTAGATTTTGTAACCATAGATGGCGGTGCGAGCTAGGTTATATCATAGGCTTAAACACCGAAAATATATCGACGAGCCTAGTTTACGAGTGACCGACAGGCGGTAAATTGTATATATCAATCAAGCCTGCTCTGTAACTAGGAGTAAAAAAAAAACTTAAAAACAAGATTTTATTTCTTCCTTGAGTGCGGCAGAATAACATAAGGAGGGGGGGGGGGGGACCTTGCACCTTGTGAAATACTCTCATCTGACTATAGCGTTGGTTATGTTATTCTGCCTCGCTCGAGCAAATCCCAAAATCCTCGCTTGGGCTTTCCTACTATAGTGGTGTCTGACTCACTCTATAGATATAGATTAAGAGTAGAAACTATCTATATCAGCCAGATTATGACGAGGTAAAGTAAACTTAATTCTGTTAAGTCCGTCGTCAGTTATGTCGCGATTACACTTGGTCCTTAGCCCGAACACGAGTGTGAAAACCATGAAATTATTGCTTCGGGTGCCCGAATTTGAGTAATGTCTTTCGTGCACCCGAATACGGGCTAACGACCAAATGTAATTGTGCCGTCAATCAATCGGACAATTACAAAGATAAAACGCGTCAGTTTGGGAGTCCCCGCTCCCAAATATTGACGTTACTTCTAAGTAAAAATTGTACCAAGACGTGACCGTCATGCGACATTTCAAATAAGTATATCTCTAATGTCTTCATCATGTGAAAAAAAAATGCGTGTCCAATACTTTTTGTTAATCTACCTAATTGACGAAGAAAATAGAGTTAGTCATCATCTCTATTTTGTTTATAAATTTGAGGCTAGTGTGGTACAGAATTAGAGCAAGCAAATTGTTCGACAGGCTTTGAATCAATTTGAGAGCCAGTCGAAGACTCGGTCTACACCGCCAGGGCCGAACAACCCTGGCATGAGAGGGCCCCATCCAGGCGGGCCGCCTGGACCCCATCCTGGAGGTAAATATTTCATTAATTTTAATATGAAGTCTGAAAATGAGAAGGTCATAATATATATTAGGCTATTTGTCAGTATGAAAAATAAAGTACCTATTTTGGCATGTGTATTTTTGTTCGTGTTGGTGTATCTAGGATATTTAATATCGTTGAGATATTAAATACCCTAGATACACCAACACGAACAAAATCATGCCCGAAACTTGTCCAAAAGGTACATTGGACGATCCACGGAGCTCCGTAAGATAATCGCATAGTCTAAACAATATGTCATTATTTAAACATGAAAATCACCTTTAAAGCACACTGTATAAGGTCCTAATCAAAGCGCATGCGTCAAAGAGTTATGACAGTCCGTGATGTAAATTTGTAAAATTTTACGACATTGCTATATAGGGTGAAATTGAATGTTTTAATGAAACTTCGTGAGATTGTTGGGTTACGAGTATAGAGTATGCCTGATTTTTTTCGGATTTTTTTGAAGTATTTTTTTTTCATGTATTTATTTGTAATTTGTGTATTTTTTTGTCCTTTCCTCCTTTTGAGTAGTTATTCATATTAAACAAACATGCTTACATATCCAGTGAAAAACAACTAATAAATAAGCACTTCTAAAAAACGAAAAAACAGTAAAATTCCACCGCGGGTCAACGACCGACCGCGCCCGCCAGCCGTTGAGTGAGTAGGTACGTACACAGAGCTCAGCTGACTCGTTTGATTCCACACAATAAAATCGTCTTAGATGCCTTTATTGAAATTGAAATAATAAGCACAAATGTCATCTTCTCTTAAGCAGAGAAAAACTTTAAAAGTTAATAATAATTTTGTCACGATTGGAAATAGGCAAATGTTAAACAAAAATAAATACTTATTGCAGTTCAATACTTGGGTCAGAATGAAATTTATAACCAGGTATTCAAAAGTACTTAAGAGACCGATGTACCTATTAATTTTTTTCTCTATAACTTCCCAATAAATCACCAAACCTACTTTCGTAAAGCCTTGTGGCTCTGCTGAGTATTCCGTGACACTCGCAATAACAACACACCATATCCAAATTCTTATATTGAGGGCACAGAACAAGAACTAATCAAGGCATTATTTGCAAATCTTGTCTTGTCACAAATTTAAAAGATACGCACGCGCGCTTGAGACTCCGCTCACTCACTGCGCTGTGCACCGCGCATACCTAGATAGGTAGGCAGGAAGGTATTCAACGGCGGGAGCGGTCATTGCTCCCGGCCGCCCGTCTCCTGTTTTTACGTCTTTTTTAGTAGTGCTTATTACTTGTTTTTTACTTACTCTGTATGCATGTTTTAAAAGAATAATTATTTAGTACCCAAAAGGAGGAAAGGACTTAAATATAACAAAAAAAAAACAAAATTTTATTATAAATCATTTTTTAAAAAATCCGAAAAAATTCAGAGATACTCTATATACGTAACCCAACATTCCCACGAAGTTTCATTAAAACATTCAATTTCACCCTGTATATGCGGAAGAATATAGACCTTATTCTTTGACTCTACGCGCAATTCTGAATGCGCTGTTAGCAATACAGCAGGTACGGACCGCGAGGAAAAGAGACTGCTATATTACCGACCATGCATTTGAATATCACAAATATTTTCTATTAAACCAGTTATATAGTAAGTATCAAAACAAAATTTGCTTCAAATGCGTTAAATTAACAAACATTGATGAGATATCTGTCGAAAAAACGTCATTTTACGTACTATAAGTATTCATTTCGCATTTTTTCACGGAGCTCAGCGGCATGTTGACTTTTCAACGGTCCGCGTGTGACTATGAATTCTGTCTCTCCCCCCCCCCCCCCTGGTGCGATGTCGTGAGATTTTATTCAAGCCCCTCCCCCAACCTCACGTGAGATTTTTCAAAATGTGGGTTTCTTTCGAAAACGCGTTGGATTGTTATTGTAAAAAGAAAATAAAATTTGCTTCGTGCTTTTATTTACGACTAGTTAAGACTAGTAATCAATATTGCTGAATGTTATATGTGTAATAAAAATTTAACAATAGAATACTAAATCGTAACTACTGTCAAAAAAAATGCGTGATATTTGCCCAGACCTCCCCTCTCTCCAACGTAAGATTAGATGAGATTTGACTCGACCCCCTCCTCCCCTTAAACATCTCACGTAATTTATGGACGCCCCCTTACACTATTCTGACAAAAAGTACAAGAAGTTGATAATATCATTAAAAATCATGAAATGTAGTTGATAATATTACTAAAAATCATCAAATAGAAAAGTATTTTTTGATCTATTGTCACGTGACCTATAACGCCTAAGAGCATGCGCTGCGTTAAGCGGGATCACGTAGCGGCGTGCAGTTTTTATGTCATTTCATAGAACAGCGCGGCGCGGGAGAAAGAATCAAACACGTGAGGTGGACACCCGCTCCGTGCTCCCGCTTAATGCAGCGCAGGCTCTAAAATAACGTCACTTGCTTGCAAACATCTGACGAGACGACATTACTTTGTACCATTTGACGTTTTAATGAGAGCCCTGTCAAAATGCATTTTGCACTACCCGTATTTGCTAATGATTTGTATCAATGACAGCCATGTATTATATGAGGAGCTGGTGGACAAAACGGTCTAATTACGCATATGGTTTTGACCATATAATACTTTATTTTTACAGCCCAGAGGTTTTGGGCCAGCTGATTTTCAACTGAAGTCAATCAAAACCGCCTAAAATAGTGTCCAAGGATAATGGGCAAAACACACCCAGCTCCGCCAACAATGTAATTAGTATGAATCGATAGATCTATGAAAAACTAGCCTTTTAAATTATGAAACCGTTAAAAAAAATCCTGGTAGTCAAAAGATGTGACACCGCAAAAAAATATCCTAGTAGTCAAAGATATGTCAGGGCATATTTAAGTAGCTAAATAAAATAATTTTATAGTACCTCCATAATTATCAGTAATTTATCTGTAGGGCACTGCAAACAATTACAAAGCAAAAACAATGGAGAAATCATGACCACGCCGTTTTATAAACAGGTGTCTGCGTATTGAACGTTGTTTTAAAAATCGTTTAGAATTTTTCGGTGGTGGCCCCAACGGCCCCGGTCCGAACGGGCCGCGCATGATGATGGGCGGCGGGCCGCACCACCAGATGCGGGGCCCTCCGCCCGGGCCGCACCACCACCCGCACCCGGGCCCGCCCCCGCACCACATGCAGCACCAGGGCCCGCCGCCGCACCAAGGCCCGCCGCCTCACCGCCCGCCCATGCCGGTGAGTTTATTTAACATTTACGAGTGTCAACTTAATACATACTATAAGTAGCGTAGCGGAACCTGTTCTAATGTTGACCTCCAATGATTTGCCCTCTTGCATTAATATTAAAATATAAAGAAGTTAAGGGATCAGTGTTTTTAAACAATTCGTTACCGGTTTGCGAAATATCTATGAAGAGCTCTAGAAGTTTTCAGACTTTTTTAAATTGTTCTAATTACTGAGTTAAAAAAATATTTGATATTGTTGAGCCTCTTAACTAGTGAAATCATATAGTGAATACACAATTACAAATACACTCAGAGGCACAATTAACCGCCCACTTACATTTTTCGTTGTAATTTCAAAAAGTCATTTTAGAATAACTTCTTTTCTTAAAAATCTAATAAAATGGATAATTTAAAATGTAATAAGTGAAAAAAATCAGTTGCTGCTGATTTAATTTTTTTAATTTTGAAAAAGTTTGAAATTACCGTTTTTCAAACAAAATTAAAGGAGTTGACAAACAAGCTAAAACTTTATGTTTACATTAAAAACCTCACTTTTAATAATGAGTATTGCCTCCACTGGCTCTTATGTCCTCTTCCAGTCGATTTGGAAGACCATCCATAATGTCTTGAATATCTGACTGCGGTATATTCTCCCACTCCTCCATCAAGGCAATCTTCAACTCATTAATGGAAGTAGGAGCGGGAATCCGACCGGTGAGTTTATTTAACATTTACGATTTCGTACCCGCCTTTTGAGATTGTCCCAAGCGTGTTCGATAGGGTTTAGGTCCGGGCTTCGAGCTGGCCATGGTAACCGTGGTATACCCACAGCATCAAGGTACTCCGTAACCACTCTAGCGATGTGAGCACGGGCGTTGTCGTTCTTTAAAAGAAAATATTCTCCAATAAATAGGGCAAAAGGGATAACATGAGGTTCTAAGACCCCTTTCACATACCTCTGAGCATTTACGCTGCCCTTTTCAAACAAAACTAACTCTGTACAAGCCTCATAAGAAATTCCACCCCATACCATTACTGAGCCACCTTGGTAGCCCACTGTTTCGAGTACAGCACACTGTGCAAACCGCTCCCCCGGCCGTCGATACACTCGCCAGCGAGTGTGTCGACCAGGACCTCTTAAAGCTACTCTCGACTCATCAGAGAAGAGAACGTTCTTCCATTGCTTCATTGTCCAATTCCGGTATTGCTCAAGCAAATCGAAGTCTAGCTCTCTGGGGCTCTCTGGGGCTCTGTGGTCAACGCGGGTACTCGAGCTGGCCGGACACCAGTCAAATTACGCTCTGCAAGCCTTCTTCTTATTGTTCTAACGCTAACACTTACATTTCGTACCTCAAATAGGCGATTACGAGCCTCCGGAGCCGTAGTGAAGCGATTTCTTAAAACATTGGATACAATGAAAAGGTCATCTCTCTCAGAAGTGCACCTTGTTCGACCTTGCCCGGCTCTTCTGGTGTAGGATCCAGTTTCTCGGTATCGTCGAATGGCATCTCGTATCGTGGTTCAAGGAAATCCCAGCATACGGCCTATACGACGCTGGCTATACCCAGCATCAGAAAGCGCCACCGCTCTAGCTGCATCAACTGCACCCATGGCATTTTACTGAATAAGTGAGTGAGTAGAGTAGCAAATGACAAAGCCTGCCACAACTTAAGAACAAAGAAATTTGTTTAAAAACTTCACAAGTAACACTTTATGTACGCGCAAAACAAACAGTTCGAAAATCAATATTCGAGTGAACTCAATAAAAGTGACTCACACTTGAGGGTATCTTTAAAAAAAGGGTAATAATTCTCTCATTTTATCATAAACTACCCACTTAACAAATTGTCATTCAATGTCATAAGCGTTTCGTTATTGTAAACAAAGTTATGCCACTTCAGGCGGGTGGGCGGTTAATTGTGCCTCTGAGTGTACTTGACTCTATAGAAAAATAAAATCAAATATATCCCTATTTTAAAATATATGTCTTATTTTACACTTATTTCTACTAGTGAACTCATAAACAAAAACTTTAAAAATATAATGGAAATTCTATATCAATTTTTAACTTAAAAACATGGTATTAAATTGTGCGCTCGCGTTGAGATATTTCTTTTGCCTCACAATGTAAAATTTCGTTGGGACCTAAGGCGCCTAAATGTTTCATTTTATTGGCATAATTGGTGAAATATAAGTACTGTCATAGATGACAATTGTATTCTAGCAGTTTCACCTAAAATTTAACAAAACATCAAAGTTTTAGTGTGCTATTCTTTGCTATGCCAATTAATACATATTAATATTGAACTTTTAAAAGTGGTTTCATGTTGATACGTAACCCCTATTTAAAAAAATTAATAATGAATTTACTATTGATAAACAAATGAAGAATTCCGCTTAAAAGACATTATATAGTTTAATCTACTTAAAATTGACAACAATTACAACAATACAATGCATAAACAACATCATCTCTTATAAGACTACTGAATACACGACTCTCCACCCAGTTCCAAGGGCCACCGCAGATGCAGCGCCCGCCAGGCCCGCGGCCGGGCCCGGAGTGGGGCGGGCGCGGGCCCCCGCACCACATGCAGCCGCAGCCCGCGCCGCAGTACGGCCCGCCCCAGCACCAGGTGCCGCCGCAGCATCTGCCGCCCCAGCACGCGGTCAGTACGCAATACCACTACCAAGGGGCTGGATAATCTTAAACCTCACCATGTATCACTAATCTGTCTGTCGGTCTGCACAAGACGCGCCATGTAATTAGCGCTGAACAAAACGCGTCAGGGCTAGCTGCTCATGGGTACGACTGGAGAGACAATCGGCGCAACGCACACCCGCCCGCTCACTTCGTCTTCCCCCAACATAATCTTAATTTTTACTTTCGCCCAATAACGGTCAGCGCTAGAGTTTCGTGCCGCGACTTATACTAATCTGTCTTCAGCAGTGCTATTCAGTACGAACATTGGAATACGAATTTCAAATCACAACCGCCAATACCGTGGTGAAAAGTGAGTTTGGTCTTACAGAACAGCAATGCAGGCCCTCACCCAGGCCCAGATTAGGATCCACGCGGTCAAAATCAAAAATCATTTATCCAGTCTAGCCTGTTACAAGCACTTGTGAAGGTCAAGAACTACGCCGGTCACTGCAGCACCAAATTTTTGTCTAACTTTTCCAACTTCTGAACTTTTATCACTTTTATTTTTGCATTTGGCATTTAAGTTCTTGATTCAAAAAAATCTAAATTAAGACCATTCGGCCCAAGTGTCAGCCTGATTTTTATTTTGTGAAATTTCCTTAGATCCTTATATTTATCTTAATAAATAAATACGAATAGATTAATAATAGAAACAAATTTTTAAAAAAATATTAACCATGATTTCGTTTCCTCCTGAGCTTTGTGTCATTAGACATTAGTAAGCTGGTGATGAGACAATATTTATAGCTGTAATTTAATATTTTATTACCTACTAGCGGCCCGCCCTCGCTTCGCTTCGGTGTAGAGCTGAAGCGTAGACTACAGTTTTTGTTCTCTGGCTTGTTTTATACACAATGACATTCATCTATGATTATTCTTATACCTGCATGCAAAGTCTCAGCCCGATCGGTTTTAAAATTGACAAAGTTTCATACAAACTTTCATTCCCTATTTTATCCCCTTGGGGGTAGAATTGATCAAAATCCTTTCTTAGCGGATGCCTACGTCATAACATCTACCTGCATGCCAAATTTCAGCCCGATCCGTCCAGTGGTTTAGGCTGGGCGTTGATAGATTACTACGTCAGTCAGTCACCTAGATTATAAAAAAACTGAAGATGGTATATTTATCTTTTCCAAACTTCTATTGACATCACGTCGCTCAATTGTTTTGCCTTCCCAGAAAATCTCCACTAACATTTGAAATTTATGGTATGGTATTAAAGTTCAAATTGACTTTTAAGTATTATTATGAATCGTTTGTATGGGAGTAAAGAAAAGTATTGTTTTTTGACATTTTCAGGCATTTTTTTTAATTTTTCTCTTCGTAAGAACCATCCTTGTACTTCAAGGAATATTCTAAAAAAAAATCAGCCAAATCGGTCAAGCCGTTTTCATGTTATGTCGTGACAACGGAAAACGGGTTTCATTTTTATATATATAGAAGATTAATTGACCGATTGGAGTGTAAAACAAATAATTAAAACATGTGGCTGAAATTATACAGTGCATATTGCACATACACTGTAACATTTTCAATCACACTTTTTCCTTATTGCTATGACATATTAATATGTTATTTAAATGATATCTAATATTTGTAGCCGCCTGGGCAAGGCATGCCGCCGCCGCATCACCAGATGCCGCCTCATCAACAGGGCCCGCCTAGAGGACCCGGGCCGATGCCACAACACCCAGGTACGAAATCAATATCAGTAATCAGTTCTTTAGCATATCATGTGATAGCGATGGACTGTAAAACTGAATGAAACTAATTGAAATTATCGAAAGAATGGGTAATTTTAAAGAAATTAAACGAGTGAACTGGACACACACAGAAACAATTATATTAAAAAAAAAAACTTACAAAACATTGTCGTAGAAAGATATGCAAAAATATGCATATCTAATAAATAAAATTCTCGTGTCGCGGTGTTTGTGGTTAAACTCCTCCGAAACGGCCTTCCCGATTCTCATGAAATTTAGTGTGCATATTTGGTAGGTCTGAGAATCGGACAACATCTATTTTTTCATCCCCCTAAATGTTAAGGGTAATCCACCCCTAAATATTTTTTTTCAATTTTAGATATTTTTTTTTTATTTTTTTTATGATACATCATACAAAAATACATACATCCCTAAATTTTCAACTTTCTACCACCAACCCCTATTTTTTTATGGCGGTACGAAGTTCGCTGGGTCAGCTAGTAATCTATAAATATGTATCTGGTTTGTTTGACTTCTTAGAGATGGTCGAATAGGCGCAGACTTATTGGGAAAGACGACTATTCGGCAAAACAATCCCGATTATAATCGGCACATAAAAAAATTAAATAAAACTAATAATTTACGCTTGTTAATTAAAAATAATTTATAAACCTAGGAACCTACTGTACCACTGTACTGAGTATGTATATAAAGTTTTTAATCATTATTATGTGTATATATATACTATTTATATATTTAAATATTAGTGTTATGTTTTTATGTATTATATTATTTTTATGGTACGTATTTATATATGTATCTATCTTTTTTTGAACATATATTCGTATTTAGCTTTATGCCGCCGTTCTTGTTTTTATTTTTCCCAAAGGTTGACTGGGAGAGAGTGCTTTTAGTCTTAATTCCGCCTTTTGTACCATTGTTATATATTTTGGTCAATAAAGTTTAAATAAATACAGTTATTCTTAAAATATTGTTACGTGTCGGGATGGGGTTCGAAATTATATGCCAGTTCACGCTTGACAGTTCTTTATTCACCACTCAGTTCACACAATTAACATACAATGTTAATTACAAAACACTTACTAAACACTGTATTTCACTATACAAGTCTCTAAACAATCGCACTTGAATACTTTTGTTGCACTTTGATCGCCTTTGGATTCGCTACGAAATCGCTGTTGAAACTCAACTGTCTCTGCGCGGGGCCAATCGCGCTTATATACGCCGATCGACGCATTCTAGAAAGTACCTGTTCAATTGAGAATTAGCTAGCACCCGCGAGTACAATGTACCTACTTATACCTACGCAGGTAACGCGCCTAATTTGTAAACAAGTGAAGATGTCGTTGCACTTTCTCCCTTACTTCGCACTGCATAAGGCTCATTTTAAAATGAGCCGCATCACTCGACCTCTATCGCGACCCGCGGTGATCTGGCAAAATCGATCTCTAGCACTTTCGCGGTTACGTTTCGAGAGCGTTTGTGACAATATTAACAAAAAAATAACGTAACATGATACGAATTAGGAACTTAGGAAGCGGTTAGGAACGGCTTGCTTTAGAGCAAGCTGACCAGTGACGAAATATTCCGAACACCTTCCTAAGATAGACCAGGTATTAGAATTATCGGCATTGCCTGCTAGTCGGAAATTTAAAAACGAACGTTAGCCGGCAAATACTATAGTCGACCATATCCAATCGTTTCCTACTACCTCCCCCCCCCAGGTGTAGGTGGTGCTCCAGCTCCGCACGTGAATCCTGCATTCTTTAATCAGCAGCCGCCCGTGCAGCCCCAGCCCGGCCCGCAGCCCCCGCAGCCCGGCCCGCCAGGTAAAACATAAATGATGCTTGTATCTATAAACGCTAAAGAATTCCTTCAACAAATATTTCGAAATTGTCCTTTAGGTCGTTGTAAGTCCTCTCACATTTTCATAATATATCTCTATTCATTGATTTGGTTTTTAAGTAATACTAGTACTTACAGCTGTACACACGTAGAAAGCTGGCTACCCAATTGATCTGCCAGCGCTCATCATTTGTGCTGAATCAGCGCCGAACGTCGCCGGCAAGTTCCGTGATGAGCTCGACATTCACGTGTCAGGTAGACTGCCAGACAGCTTCTGCATTACTGATAAGCGCTGGTAGATTGGCTCCTGTAGCCAGCTTACTACGTGTATACGGCCAATTATAGTCTGTTCCTAACGTAAACAAAGAGGTAGGCAAGTCTGACCATTGACAGTTAAGTGATGGGGATTCATAGAGACTAATCAAAATGAATTGCACACTTGAATGATCATATTCTTAAAAATTGTTAAAAATGTAAAAGGCTTAACCCATTTGGCGCCTCTGTACGTGATTGGGTACAGTAAAACAATTGAGGGTAGTTATGAGGCTTTTTAGTAATAATTGTAGTTACCGTTTGCTATAGTAAGAGATAGAAATAGTGCTTCAAAATAACAACAGTTTAAGTGGATATCTTTTTAAAATATGTTATTTTGAGGATTGTAACATAGCAGTTGAATTGTGTATAAAAGTAAGTACATCATATTATTATTATCAAGGGTTAGCATATGCAAAAAAATATTTTGTGTTTATAATTTTTGTAGTACATATATTTATGTATAAATTAACTAATAAACCACTACTCTCTATTATATATTTGCATAGATATTGTGCTTTAAACAGTACTGTACCTGATTGAGTACAGCGGCTAAATCCATGTAACGAACACACATCTTTTTTTTTGTTTCTGGTTTTAGTAATAATGAGTTCCAAACGGTTTGACGTTTCTATCAATTATAGCGGCTTAGAGGAAGCAATTCATGCTATTTTAGAGCAAAGTGACAGTAATGATGAATACGAATTTGCTGTAATACCGCCAGAACCCAGCGTTTTCACAGATGAGGAAGTAGGTGTCGACGAAGACATGGTTTCTGCTTCCTTGCCGCGAGATGTGCCTGGTAATATAGAAGTGTTTCGGTCTGTTGATAACACCATTCAAAGTGACAATGGCGACAGCAGTGATGACGAACCATTTTCCGACAAAGTAAAGTCCCAAATAATTAAATATTTCGGCCATCATCCAGCTAAACAATTTATTACAGGTAAGCCAGCACGGTTTGGCTATTCTACGGGGTACTGCTATACTTTCGATTTGTATTGTGGAAAATCCATGGATGCTTCCACTGACCCCATAGGGTCCCCGTAGTAGTCAAAACTTTACTTGTAAAATTGAGCACTGATCCAACATGTCATCAAGTGTTTTTTAACTTTACAAATTATAATCTCTTATTGGAGCTCAAAAACTTAGGATATCGTGCTACTGGAATAAGGGAAAATAGGACAAAGAAGTGTCCACTGAGAAGTACTAAACAGATAAAGAAAGAAGATCGTGCCTCATATGATTACAGGTTTGATAAGCAAAATGAGGTTTTATTAGTGCGATGGAAAGACAATAGAATTTATACAATGGCAACTAATTATGACACCATTGAAACCTTGGGAGTTGAAAAACGATAGTGTCCTGTGCAATGTGAAAATACTGATGTCAATATACAAAAAATGTTTCAAACATATAATAAAAACATGGGTAGCATGGGTGAGTTAGATCAGTCCATATCTCTATATAAGATGGGCTGGCTCTATATAGGATAGCAATTAATGGAAAGAAGTAGTGCTGGGTTTTGTTTACCTATATGATAGATATGGTTATTACTAATTCCTGGCATTTACATGTTATGAGTCACAGTGATACCATGGATCAGCTTATGTTTCGACGTGTCATTGCAAGATATTATTTACGTCGGAAAACACAATATAAGGCTCGACCTTCATCTTCTTCAGTTCCAGGATTGCCTCAAGATGGTGAAGGACACTATCCTCAAAAGCTTGAAAAACCATTACGATGTGTAATATGTCATTGAAGAGTACGCTGGCAATGCAAAAAGTGTCTAAAACATTATGTGTAGAAAACAATGCTTTGAAAAATTTCAACGGTAATACGCCACTGTACTCAATTGAGTACACCCCCTCCAAAGGGGGCCTAGTAACAATTTAAATATTTTTTTATAATTAATTCTTTATTTGATATATAAACAATAGTTACATAAACATTTTACATAAATAACTTTCCTGTTTTAATTTTGGCGGTTAATGGGTTAATTTGTAAAATTAATTATTAATTATACACATTGCATAAATGATAGTGATAAAAAGTATTTTCTGCTACTATGATATTATTTGAAATATGTACTGTCATGAATAAAATTAACATTTCTATTGTTTCTGATTATTAATATTGATTTATGAACGATCTATTTAATTACTTAGATGATAATCAAAAATTTTTATAAATTTAATATTTAAATTAAACCTAGTTTTAACGGGTTAATGCACGAAACTTAATTTATTTATTGACGTTTATATGACCAAAATGTACTCCCTCTATCTGCACTTTTAAATTCTCACCTGCACTCAGTTGGACAGTTTACAAGTGACGGCATAGTGCTGAAACTTTTTATTTAATGTCCTTCTATCTTTCTAAATAGGTCTTCTGGTGGTTCAAATGACCTATAAATTTTTACCATGACCCTGTAGTCCACGACCTAAAGATATAAGCAGAGAACCCATTGTGCTTCATTTTTAATTAAAACCGAACGTACCATATCGATAAACACCCCAGCAAACTTAAACCATAAACAACGAAGCCTGCGAAATTTTACATACAAAATCGTCTTCTGTGCAAGTTTGTTTGTCTATAGTTTTTCTCAAGAAGTTTGCTGCTACCTAAGCTAAAACATTTTAAATGTCAAAATTCAATTTTACGATAGAATAACAAATCTATTTTTTACTTGGTTTATAAAATGACTTCTTTCGTTTTTATTGTTTTATTAAGTTCATGCGAAAACAAATTTATGTAGATTATAAAACTTGCAGTTTGCGGAACCGATGCATGTTGCTTAGACTTTTTCGATGTGTGTAGTTAATTATTTTATTTAGTTGGTAGTTAAGTTTTGTGTTGTCGTTGAGTGTCTAACGTAGAGCGGTTGGTTGTTCAGCACAATTCGTTCCAGGGCCGGGTGCGCCGTACGGCCACCCCGCTCACGGGGCCCCGCCGCCGGCCCAGGGCCCGCCGCCGGGGGCCCGCCAGCCGTATGGGAGACCGCCGCAGGTTAGTCTTATTGTTCATTGCCCCTTTTACTCCGGGGTACCGCACATCGTGGGGGAGTCCGGAAACGGACAAATCACCTTGCGGGTGCGCGGTCAGTCGAACAGGGTACCGCACAAACCCGCACTCCCGTCGCGCATTGGGGGGACGGCGGTCCTCAGAATATGTGCTGGGTGACCGGTGCAGGAGTATTGTCTGGTTTTTACCGCTCTGGTAGAGGACCATGGTCGCTTCTTCGAGCTCCAAAGTTGGGTGAAGTGAACAGGGAGGAGTCCCAGGGAGGAGAAGGATGCGTAAGGCATTTTCCAGACAAAAAAAAAGTTTGTTTTATTGTTTACTTTAATAATGGACCCGATTTTGGCATTGTTTGTTGAGCGAGTTGAGTTAGCGCGTTCGGGTGCGATCGTTGAGTCACTGGATGGGTGACCAAAAATTTACTATCTCGAGCTCCTCCGTTCTTCGGAAGGCATGTTAAGCCGTTGGTTTCGGCTGCATCTGCAGTCGTTAGCACCCACCAATCCCCACTGGGCCCGAGTGGTGGGTCATGTCCCAATCTCCCTATTCCATCCATAGGGAAGGCCTGTGCCCCAGCAGTGGGGACATTAATAGGCTGATGATGATGGCATGACTCTTTATGACAGCTCTTTATAGCGTAAAGACGCCTTATTACAAAACGTAGACTAAAGTTAACTGGACTAAAACAGATGCTGTGACTTTTGTTTGTTAAATGGAAGACACACAACATTAGGTTTAAACTAACTAAATTCCGCGTTTTGGAATAAGGCGGTTTAAGTTCATACTGTTTATTTTATATGTATTTAATTATAATTATATTAGTGTCGATTCTGGCATTATTCGCTAAACCTAATCTTAAATTTGACAACAGTACATCCTTGCCATTCTCCATGCAGAATGAAGAGGAGAGAGTGATGTTAAATTTAGTTTAGAGAATTATGCCAGAATTGACACCATTATGTTGTTCAACAGAACTACCCAGCTCCAGCTGAGCCAGCGAGAGCTCCTCATCACCCAGCGCCGATACCGCACGTTCCTCACGCTGCTCTCCCACCCCACCCGGTGATATCTGAAGCGGAGTTCGAGGAAGTGATGAGCAGGAATCGAACCGTGTCCTCAAGCGCCATAGCCCGCGCCGTCAGCGACGCGGCCGCAGGGGAATACGCCTCGGCCATCGAGACTCTGGTCACTGCCATATCCCTCATTAAACAGAGCAAGGTAAATCTATTAACTAGTCTGGCTACCGTTGAAATTTTTGAGCAGCAGTTCAGCTTAAGGGACCTTTAGGGAGGCCAAAGGTCTTCTACCGAGCTGGATGATGTTAGTTCGGGGGTCGCGGCCCGACCGATTTTGGTTATGATATGGATTTTCCTACTACTTATGCCGGTTGCTGTTCACATGTATGTGACCAGTACAGTAATTTTGATTTATCTCGAAGAAGGTTGTGAAAGTAATGCTCAAATTTCCAAGCATGTTTGAGAAATAGTATATTTCATTACTAGTACGGAATGGTTGTCATTGCAAAGAGTTCCGACAAATGTCTACCCGAGCCGAAGGTGAGGGTTGACAGTCGGAACGACTTGCAATGACGGTTCCGTACGTGTACTGAACGACTATTTTTAATACAGTTGCGAAAAAATGAAGCAATTTAATCAAATTATAAAAACACAATAAACTCAATTAACTAATCATTTATTTCTTATAAAAGTTATAATTCACATATACATTGAAATTGGTACAGTTTTTTATACTAACTGGGGAAGTTTTACGTTGCATATTTACTGTTTGAGACAAACTATTATTTATTCGTATGATTGTTCATGTATATTTGTCATACAATGGCGTTTGCTAGTTGATGGAGTTGGATCTGATGAATTATCATTATCAACGAAGGTACTCGTAGATGGACGAACGTTCTCTTCAGCATGTGAAGGAGACGGACTGGACCTTAAATTAATGGATTGTGTGATCTTTTTCCCAGTTTCTAGTTTGTTGTTTAATGAATCATGCAACTTTGTCCGATTTCCAACCACCTAGTCGCTTTAAGGACGTCAAATTGGCTCCTGAATCTGCCAATAATGTAGCAGAGGTCCTTCTGAAGCTGTGCCCAGTATAACACTCAGCATCCGGCAGACCAAGAAACGTAGCTATTTCTTTTGGCATATTACCAAATTTGTTTATGCCGATTACTTGAGCTGTACACTTCCGTTTTTGGAAATTTTGTAAAAAACGGTCGGATCTTCCTTTTTGGGACCGCTGGTTCATATATTTTTTCACTATTGTGAGAAAATCTCCTTCAACAACAAAGCTTCGCGGTATCTTATTTTTTGTGTTTGGAATCTTGATAAGTAGCATTTCTCCATGGGCTTCAATATCTTTTAAAGTAATATTGGCTAACTCCTCTCTGCGGCAAGCTCCAACAACGCCAAAAATCAGAGCTACCTAAAAAAAACGATTTGATTCATATAAATAATGTATTGACTGTCTTTTGCGATTTTGTAAACTGAACACTAAAGAAAAATGTAGATATGTATACTTATTAATAAATTACCTTTGTGGCTAAATAACAATCATCGGGAGCTTCTTTCAAAAACCTTTCCACGTCATTCGATGTTAATATTTTCGACTTTTTACTGGTAAACCCGTCTGATTGTCGTTTTAAGAAAGAATTTAATTTTGGATATTGACTTATATCCACGTTGTTCCTTATTTTCAGCATACCTTTTATCATCGATAACCTTGACCATAACATAGAAGGTTTTAATTTTGCTGAGAGTTTGGAAAAGTATGCCAACATAACATTTTCTGAAAAACTATTTGCTTTTTTCTCTTCTTTCCACGCAATAAATTCATCGTATGTAGATATGTAGCGTAAAATGTTCTCCGAAGCATTTTGTGCAATTATACTGAGTTCCGGTGGAGTTAATTCAAAAAAATTTAGGTCGAAATTACTCATTTTGTGTAGAAAACAACTAAACTCGCAAAGAAAATTTCGGAAAATGGCGCCAACCGTAGAACGTAAGCAGTTTTTTTTCACCCATTCTGGTAGGCAAAGGGAACTGCCCATACAGCCAAGTCTTTAGTACTTAGTATTTTTTATTATAAGAAATGAAATTGAAATTTAATGATATGAAATGAACTGAAACCTTACCTAACTCATTCAATCAATTAATTAATTCTGATATTGGACAAACTAGTATGGGTAGCTTCTTTTTAAAAACAAATAAACCTATTTGCATGAATCGCAAAAACTTCTATGATTTTTTTTAGTTAGAACTTCATGGTTGTTTTTTTTAATAGAAATAATTTTGACAGTTGGGAAAGAAAACGCACGAGTTCGGGAAAGGCAAAAAAAAAGCACGAGTGTGAAATAGCCCAGATCCCGAACGCTACACGTCCCTGCAATACGCCACTTTTTGAGCAACTGTATTAAAAATAGTATATTTCATTACTAGTACGGAATGGTTGTCATTGCAAAGAGTTCCGACAAATGTCTACCCGAGCCGAAGGCGAGGGTTGACAGTCGGAACGAGTTGCAATGACGGTTCCGTACGTGTACTGAACGACTATTTTTAATACAGTTGCGAAAAAATTAAGCAATTTAATCAAATTATAAAAACACAATAAACTCAATTAACTAATCATTTATTTCTTATAAAAGTTATAATTCACATATACATTGAAATTGGTACAGTTTTTTATACTAACTGGGGAAGTTTTACGTTGCATATTTACTGTTTGAGACAAACTATTATTAATTTCGTATGATTGTTCATGTATATTTGTCATACAATGGCGTTTGCTAGTTGATGGAATTGGATCTGATGAATTATCATTATCAACGAAGGTACTCGTAGATGGACGAACGTTCTCTTCAGCATGTGAAGGAGACGGACTGGACCTTAAATTAATGGATTGTGTGATCTTTTTCCCAGTTTCTAGTTTGTTGTTTAATGAATCATGCAACTTTGTCCGATTTCCAACCACCTAGTCGCTTTAAGGACGTCAAATTGGCTCCTGAATCTGCCAATAATGTAGCAGAGGTCCTTCTGAAGCTGTGCCCAGTATAACACTCAGCATCCGGCAGACCAAGAAACGTAGCTATTTCTTTTGGCATATTACCAAATTTGTTTATGCCGATTACTTGAGCTGTACACTTCCGTTTTTGGAAATTTTGTAAAAAACGGTCGGATTTTCCTTTTTGGGACCGCTGGTTCATATATTTTTTCACTATTGTGAGAAAATCTCCTTCAACAACAAAGCTTCGCGGTATCTTATTTTTTGTGTTTGGAATCTTGATAAGTAGCATTTCTCCATGGGCTTCAATATCTTTTAAAGTAATATTGGCTAACTCCTCTCTGCGGCAAGCTCCAACAACGCCAAAAATCAGAGCAACCTAAAAAAAACGATTTGATTCATATAAATAATGTATTGACTGTCTTTTGCGATTTTGTAAACTGAACACTAAAGAAAAATGTAGATATGTATACTTATTAATAAATTACCTTTGTGGCTAAATAACAATCATCGGGAGCTTCTTTCAAAAACCTTTCCACGTCATTCGATGTTAATATTTTCGACTTTTTACTGGTAAACCCGTCTGATTGTCGTTTTAAGAAAGAATTTAATTTTGGATATTGACTTATATCCACGTTGTTCCTTATTTTCAGCATACTTTTTATCATCGAAAACCTTGACCATAACGTAGAAGGTTTTAATTTTGCTGAGAGTTCGGAAAAGTATGCCAACATAACATTTTCTGAAAAACTATTTGCTTTTTTCTCTTCTTTCCACGCAATAAATTCATCGTATGTAGATATGTAGCGAATTTTTGACTTTTCCGGTAAAATGTTCTCCGAAGTATTTTGTACAATTATACTGAGTTCCGGTGGAGTTAATTCAAAAAAATTTAGGTCGAAATTACTCATTTTGTGTAAAAAACAACTAAACTCGCAAAGAAAATTTCGGAAAATGGCGCCAACCGTAGAAGCAGTTTTTTTTCACCCATTCTGGTAGGCAAAGGGAACTGCCCATACAGCCAAGTCTTCAGTACTTAGTATTTTTTATTATAAGAAATGAAATTGAAATTTAATGATATGAAATGAACTGAAACCTTACCTAACTCATTCAATCAATTAATTAATTCTGATATTGGACAAATTAGTATAGGTAGCTTCTTTTTAAAAACAAATAAACCTATTTGCATGAATCCCAAAAACTTCTATGATTTTTTTTAGTTAAAACTTCATGGTTGTTTTTTTTAATAGAAATAATTTTGACAGTTGGGAAAGAAAACGCACGAGTTCGGGAAAGGCAAAAAAAAGCACGAGTGTGAAATAGCCCAGATCCCGAACGCTACACGTCCCTGCAATACGCCACTTTTTGAGCAACTGTATTAAAAACTTATTTACACGTTTTTTTTCCAATGCAGGTGGCTCACGACGACCGTTGCAAGATCCTAATATCATCCCTCCAAGATACATTGCACGGCGTCGAGACCAAATCGTACAGCAGCGGCGACAGATCGCGGCGCTCGCGGTCGCGGGAGAGAGACGCGCGCGTGCATCACCGCGCGCCGCGCCGCCGCGACCGATCCGCCAGCCGGTACCGCGACCGCAGCCGCGAGCGGGACGAGCGCGACCGGTGAGTAACCCACGCGCCACAACCGCGGCGCTTGCGGGCGCGGCATAGAGACGCGCACGTGCCGCGACCGATCCGCCAGCCGGTACCGCGACCGCAGCCGCGAGCGGGACGAGCGCGACCGGTGAGTAACCCACGCGCCACAACCGCGGCGCTTGCGGGCGCGGCATAGAGACGCGCACGTGCCGCGACCGATCCGCCAGCCGGTACCGCGACCGCAGCCGCGAGCGGGACGAACGCGACCGGTGCGTAACCCACGCGCCACAACCGCGGCGCTTGCGGGCGCGGCATAGAGACGCGCACGTGCCGCGACCGATCCGCCAGCCGGTACTGCGACCGCAGCCGCGAACGGGACGAGCGCGACCGGTGAGTAACCCACCTTAGTAGTACAGTCAATCTGTAGGTTGAGTGGTAAAAAAAAACCTAAAGGGTAAGTCTTGTTTTTTCTGTTGCCAAATGACGTCAGTAAGCCACCTTGGCGAAGGGCATGTTCAACTCGTAGGCGCATTTTAGAAACTTTTTTTTCGACCATAATTGTAGAGGGCGTTGAGTACTACAATTTATGTCATTGTTGCAATCTCGTAAAACAAAAAATGCGCATTGCAGGTGGCGCTAAAGTCTCAAAAAAAGTGTTTTTTCACTTTTTCACCCTGAAAATATCATTTTAATGGAAAACTTTAAATGGAAAAGTTGTTCCGTACATAATTAACAACAACTTTTGCGTAAACAATTTTTTAAAATTACTTACAGTTTTCAAGTTACAGTGCAATACAGCGCTACGTATACAACACAGTGCTAGTAACGGTAATTTTTTCGGTCCTATGGAGACTTTCTCCGTTGGCGTCGGCACAGTTCTGATAAAAGGGCCAATTCGGCCATCTGGTCTATTCACAAAGTACATTTTTCAGTTGCTATGTGAGTTTCGGACAGTAAAGACGGAAAAATCTGGCTCTGTAAAAATGAGTGATAATGTGCCTGTTTGTTTTGTTTGTTGTAAAAGTGTTGAAAATAAAGTTCGTCACGTGGGAGCAGGGGGGCGAAAAACATTAATTAAAGCGGCAATAGTTAGAGGTGATTCTAAAAATTTTAAATAGCTTGAAGACGACAGCATTCCAGTTCCAGACCTTCACAGCACATGCTACCGGATATACAGCGATCACGAACGAGCTGCTAAACAGATTGAGAGTCACCGGCAAGAGTTGTTAAGGTATTTTGTCGATATTACATTTTTATTAACAAGACAATCGGGGTAATTCTGAGACTTTGGGGTAAATGTGACATGTTAAATAATTTTATTAAATAACATTTGTTATTCGTAAGTGATAGATCTTATAATCCTTTAATAGTTTATTAACTATACAGATGAAAAATATGATATATTGAAGTGTTGAATTTTACATTTTCAGTAATCAATGAAATAGGTGTATACTAACTGGCCTGTACCGAATTCCTAACTGTATATCCTAGACGAAATTCATTTATACCTGGGCTGTGTCAATGTCATTTTACTTTCTCACTGTGTCACTTTCTCATTGTCATACTGAAGTAGCAGAATATAAAGAAACTTGTCAATGTCACTTGGGGTAAAAATGATCAGATTGGGGTAAAAATTATCAGGCTTAAAAAAGGAATAAACAGTTCTTCTAGCGATTTGTTATTTTGCTAGATATGCGTAATTGATTCTTTAGTTGTTTGTTTAAAATATCAGTACACAAAAATAAGTGTGTTTTCATTTGTTTATTAAATAATTAAGCTGATCATTTTTACCCCAACTGACCCTACAATTTAACACGGAAATTTGTAATTATGTACGGAACAACTTTTCCATTTAAAGGTTTCCATTAAAATGATATTTTCAGGGTGAAAAAGTGAAAAAACACTTTTTTTTAGACTTTAGCGCCACCTACAATGCGCATTTTTTGTTGCACGAGATTGCAACAATAACATAAATTGTAGTACTCAACGCCCTCTACAATTATGGTCGAAAAAAAAGTTTCTAAAATGCATAAAAACAAGAGATATGCGTTTCAAAAATATTTTGGGTTTTTTTTTGAGTTTTTCAAAAAACGCCTACGAGTTGAACATGCCCATCGCCAAGGTGGCTTACTGACGTCATTTGGCAACAGCAAAAACAAGACTTACCCTTTAGGTTTTTTTTCACTGAAACGATTTTTTTTTCGACAGATTGACTGTACTATAGGGCCTCTTCTTGTGTGTTATTCACATTCTCATTGAAATTTATACTGTGCCACATTCTCATCAATGGAAGAATATCCAGGAAAACACTGGGGGCCGCTTAGCGTGCGTCGCTCGACAGTCGTCACGTCAATGAGGTAAGTTGGCGATTTAGGCGCATTTAACGGGATGAAGAATCGTATTGAGCGTTAAAATATGTATGAAAACATGTCTCAAGTTGCAGGGATTGACGCAAAATGGCGTATTATGCGAGAAATCGTATTAAGCGTGATCGCATTAAACTGTTTCTACTGTATATGGTCAAAACCATATGCGTAATTATTCCGTTTTGTTCGCCAGCTCCTCATTACTAATGCTACGGCTGATGGCAATTCAACTTCGAATTAATTGCACTACGCAAGGGTTGCCAGGTTAGGTAGGGTAGGGTTGCCAGGTTAGGTAGGGTAGGGTTGCCAGGTCGCCAAACCTATAAGCAGGACTGACCAGCCAGTGTGGCCGGACATTGGAGTAAAAAGGCCGGACACCCTACATTATTAGGATTTTTGTAACTTCGATTGACAAAAATTGTACATAAAATAAAAGTGGCCGACAGTGTACTCGCTTGCGCTCGGCCACGCTTGGCACTCGCTCGTTTGTAAATGTAAAAATTTGGCTTTTGTTAGGCAGCGTTTATTTTGGCTGGACATAATCAAAAAGCCTAACTATGTCCGGGTGTATCCGAGCGTTTTCCAAAAAAGGTGTACCCCCCACTATTGAGCTGTCCGCCGTGTTTGAAATATAATAAAAAATATAGTTAATGTCTCAAAAATTATTTTAATGATTGAAAAGCATTAAACACACTCGTAAACTAGTTAAGTTTAAACAAAAATCTTACTTCTTTGCGTTAATATTTCAATAATGACCATTTTTATATACCAAGGGTTCACATTTTGATGTCCCCCACTCGTGTAATTCGATGTCGGAAGGCGATACTGTAATTTTTTCTACTAGGATAGCATCATTTGTGGTAGCGTTTGAAAATACACTGATATATCTATCGTCGCCGGTAGTTTTTAATTTAAGTTTTATGATCATTTAAATACAGTTTGTTTTTCAAAAAAGTCGTAAAAAGTGGTACCGAACGTACATGTCGGTTTTGACACGGTTAAAACTGGCATTTAAAAAAATTACCAAGACTATTTCAGTTTTTGAAATGGCAACAACATCCTTTTTACCCACCGACCGCCATTTTATAAAAGATATTTGTCAAATACCCTTCGAGTAAACAGACGTGTTTATGTGAGAGCCACGGCCGTCAAGATTTCTCCTTTCGGGTTTGACACAGATTTATCTACTAATTCAGGTAAGTTTAACTTATTTAACTGTTTTTAAATTATGAGCAATATCCTAATGTAAGGTTATTTACATTTGGTAACAAACGTAGGTAAAAGTTTTCGTCAGAGTAAGTTTTTGAATATAAAATGGGAAGTGAACGTCACGTCAGTTTTGCGACATTTTACCCCGTGACCTACAAGCTGACTAGTAAAGTCGCAAAACCGACACCATAAAGCTAAGACTACATGATGGCATTACCTTTTTACCCGACTGACGAAGAAAGGAGGGTAATGTTTTTCGAGCATATTGTATGTATGTATGTCCATTTCTTTGGCACGCCCTACAGCCTAAACGGTTCGACGGATTTTGACTTGCGAGGTGTCATTCGATTCGTCGTGATTGTGTACTAAATTTTAAAAAATCAAATCCCCTCTTTTTAACTGTCGTGTTAGTAAGTGTGTCTGATCTCTGTTTAATTTTATATTTTTATGATGATTATTTAAAAAAATAAAATATAATATTGATTTTAATTTAACCTTAACTTTACTTTAATTTTAGGTTTTAAATAGACCCGAATCCAATAATTACTTTGTCGGTTAAACTACATATTCATTGTTTAATCGTAAAAGTAACGGTTACTTTGGCATCAGCTGTGACAAAACCGAACTTAAAACCAGAATAATTAGTATTATATTGAGTTGGTGATTAAATTGGCCTTTTTGCAATAATTAATTACTGATAATCTTCGTAACTCAATTAAAATCTTTTGCGTCTTTCTTCATAGTTAGTAGATAACTAGCGTTTAAGATAGTCGCAAAACTGACATTTTATTCTTCAGAGCTAGTTTAATTTGATGATTTCTCGTATAATAGATTAATCTCCAACAATTAAATATACTGTCATAAACTATCATGTATCTTAATAATATCTAATACAAAAAAAATCATCAAAAATGGGATATCTTATAAATAAGCATAAATTCAAGACAAGTACACTTTTTTGGAAAATGCTTATCCGCACGCCTGGCAACGCTAACTGCGTTGATAACGAGAGATCGAATCGTGAGAAAAGCTAGGACTTCTCGCGATAAAATTTAATTACACATCGAACTGAACTGCGTGTATTATTCATTAACAATAAGAAAATAATGATTGAAGAAATGATAAAATTAATAGTAAATTAAGAATAAAAACTAGGTTTGTAAAAACCGCAACACCCAGACCACCAAAAAAGTTATCCCGCCCAAATGCCGCGATGTTCTGTGTTAATGCGAAATCGCGATGTTTATTCAAATGTCACTGTGGGAGTACATTATTTCTTTACGGTCGACGCGTCGCTCTAAGTCGTCGCACATAGAGGTAAAGTCATAGCCGGCCGAGCGACCGGTCTTCTCGCTGCTCGCCAGTGGCGGGGCAAGACCTAAATTTGATGTGGGCAAGACAGATTTCGGTAGGCCCTGTTCTGTGGCGACCTGAAGACGGATTTTATAAAATAATACAAAAAAAGAAATTCGCTTTTAAGCAATGCATAAAAATTTTTGAGGCGCGAGGCCCCTTGTACCGCGACGCCTCTGCTGCTCGCCAACTCGAATCTAGTTTTTAGCTGTACTCGCTTCACACTGATCGTTGGCGGTGGTGGGAAAAAGTGCACCAAGTAAATCGCATAAATCGCGGTCGCGATCATTTCCCTTATCAACATAATTTTAAAATCCCTATTCCTATGTAGAAGGAAATCAAAATTACGACCTTTGCTTGTTAGCATTGTAAGTACTGCGCCTGTACTCTTAAAGTTGACTTTCGATATATCGTCAGCATCATTATCGTCTGTCCTACTCTAACCTACATTGTTTTTAATGCAGTAGAGTAGGATTTGACTCGACGAAGTTCACGATAGATCGATTATCGATTTTAAGAGTACAGTACAACCCCTGGCTTCAACTTAAAATTCGTTTTTTGTTGTCAGGTACAGGGAAAGGTCAAGGGAACGCGATCGTGAGCGCGACCGCGATGCGTAAGTGCATTCTTTAAAAAGTTTGAGTTTCGTTAGCGATGATTTAGCTTTATTACCTTTTTTGATTTATTGAAGTGAAACTTCTTTACGCACGCTTGACTTGGGGAGTAAGCTGGCGAATGCGTTACGCGTTACGATAAGTGTGTTCGGGCGAGGCGAATGGGAGTTGAGTGGGGGATATAAGCAAGAGAAAGCAGTGTTCGCGCACATTTTCTTTCTCGTAGCTAGTAGTATAGCTAGTAAATGAAATATGTATATGTACATACATGTATATATTGTACACACACATATATACACACATACAAATGGAGCTAAAGAAGTTTCACTTCAGTCGTGTGGTCATAAGCACACTCGTTTTTTTTTATTTCGAATAGTTGTGTTTCTAATCTAAGTACTCGGTTTTCTTTTAGCGCGCTTCTAAGGTAAGATTTTTTGCGAACGAGCCTTTATCTTTATTTTTTTTCTTATACTTTTATAATATTACTCATGTTTTCTTTTCACTGAATGTTATTTGTTTCCCCTAACTGTCCCCTAAACATCACATCGCAAATTTTCATTTGATAATTATTTTACTAAATGTTTAGTCAATTAATGGAAAAAAATGAATTGACAATTTGAACAAACTATTTTCAGCAGAAATAAAGTAATAGGTTTTTTTATAAACATTTGACTTAATAAAACTTAACAAATTATAAATTTCACCGAATAAATAAAATTCGATGAGTAAAAATACTAAAGATTCATTTGGGAAATGAAACAAGGCCGATAAGTTTTTTAAAAAAAAATTTTGCCCAGTAACAAACCGTTAATCGGTCATGTTCACATGATAATTCATTTCAATGTTTACTTATTATGATTAACATTGTTTATCCTCTTCCTGCAGGTATTACAGAGATTACCGTGAAAGGGAACGCGATCGCTCCAGGTCTAGGGATCGTGAACGCGCCGATCACTACAACAGGGGTCACAGCAGGGAAGAAAGGTAAAATTTTATTATTCACTAGCGGCCGCCCGCGACTTCGTACGCGTGTAGTTAGTTAGAAATAAAGGTGTCGTTCCCCTTAGGTGACAATATGTAGCCTATATGTTGACCCGACTTCTTAATAATATTCGTACCAAATTTGAAGTAAACCCATGCAGTCCTTTTTAGTTTATCCCGGACATACATACAGACAAACAGGCAAAAATTCTAAAAACTATACAGTGTTACAAAAGTACAAATAAATTTGAAGGGCGTTGAAGTAAATCATATAAGGAGTCTTATTTTTAATGATCCTCGAACTAGTGTCGTGTCTTAAAAAGATCGATATTTTTATTAATCATTAAAAATAACTTTTTATAAAAAATTAAAACTTCATAAAATATTTTAAAAAAATTAGAGAAGACTCGATGTACTTCAACGCCCTTCAAGCTTTATTTGTATTTTTGTAACACCCTGTATTTTCGGCTTCGGTATCTATTGAGGATCAAACCCCAATCTTTAAATAAAATATTCAATGTACTGTTTTGACTTTCCTACCATTTTATTATATGTTTAGATAATAATGATAATGGATCATTTCAGTATAATTACGAGTATACACACTGATGTGATTATAAATAAAAAAACATATCAACAGTGGAAAGGCAAAATCGCTTCGCAATTATGTGATTTTGCCTTTCCACAGTCGATATGCTTATTTTTAAAACTACTTAAATTTTTCATTGTTCAAGCTTTATTTTGGTGTCCAGAGTAGCATTTCATGCTAAGTTCAGATGGTCGACTTTTGCTTGACGTTTCTGCAGTCCGGCCACTGACATATGTTTCTATGAGTTTGTTTCTACGAAATCGCAGTCACCTTAGTGCGGTCTAAAGCTGTTTCGGAGTCAAAAAGTAACATTTGAGGAGGTTAGGAACAGAAAGTGTCATTTACAGTTACTTTTTGAGTAAATTGAGAAAATAAGTATTCAAGTTGATCTAAGCAATTTTTATTATTTTTTATTAACCATTTATGTGTCAATTATTGTAGTAAATTTAATGTATTCTAAGGTTATCTTGCTGGTTTTAAAACTTGGAAATAAATAAATATATATATATATATATCAAATGACACCCTTTGATCCAATAGCATGCATGTGTCACTATTTGATTCAAATATTTTGTAAAATGTCACCTTTTGAAACCCACTGTCTAAAAAATGTTACATTATCAAACATTCGTTATGAAAATAAAAATAGATTCACACAAAACATTTTCATTTCCTCCACTTCACAATCAGGTTCCTAGTTTGAACCGACTAAAGACTTTTCAAACGTATTTCTTAAGAATATGTCACTTTTTGATTCAAGTATTAATAATCACTGTGATTGAATAAAAATGTAACTTTTTGTTCCGGAAGCAGCAGTTCACATCGATTTTTCTATGGAACTATTGACATTTTTAACAAAATCTTGTGAGTTACAGAAAGAATTTAACATTTTGAGCTGCTTAAAATAAATAAACTGAATAGAGCAAAATTCGTATTTTAACACTTTTTGTTCCTAACCTCCTCATTTGTAATTATCTTTTAGGCCTAGGAAGTCGCCAGTAGAGCCCGCAGCGGACAGCGGTGCTGGCGACGCGCCCAGCACCAAAAGTCGCGCGACCACAGCCCCCTACTACGACGAGCGGTACCGCGAGCGCCGCGACCGCGACCCGCCGCCCGCTGACCGCGACCGCGACCGCGACCACCGCCGCGACCCCAGGCACTAACCAACACACACACACCACACTACATTCTGACCGCACACTGACGAGGCCCAAGCGCGAGATTTTAACAGCAGCGTCGTCAATGTTTGTATGAGATCTCAAGCAGCGCAGCGGACGTGAGAACAAACTAGCTTTATCAACACAAAATTTGACGATTACTCGTGCTTGGGCCTTCCACCGCCCTCGCCACCGACTAGGTATGCACATACACTATAAAACGCCACTCATATAATATGACAGACTCTATACGACCTGGGTATCTACCACTTGTACTTGAACTTGATTTGAATGTTGCTATTATTGGATTTGATGACACTAGACCAGGGTTTCCCAACCTTTTTGTTGTTGAGGCTCCCCGGACTATAAATTATATTTTCATACCCCCCTTTACTTTTTCATTAAATACAAAAAAAAACACACACACGTTATGTTACTTAAGACTTCATTTTATATTTTAATAAACAAACTTTAAAAGTTAAAATAAACTAATTGTAGGTTGTAACTAATGACTAACGAGACAATTGAGATTGCATGTTCTGCATTAGTTGGTTGATTCTAGGTTCTGTTTTTGCCAGAGCTATCATCAGGTCGCTATCACATCTCTCTATGCCCCCCTTGGGAAGCGCGCCCCCCTGGTTGGGAACTCCTCTACTAGACATTCTGACACTCGCACAAGTTTTGCAGTCATGATTACAGATTGGTAACAATGTACTGATTCTGACATGATTCTTTAAACAATTCACATCTATGTAGTTACACGGAAAACTCCCTGACACAGGCTACTATACCCATAATTAACAACCCTTCAATACTTACTTAATTACTACACAACATCTCTTACTAAATTCTGAAATATCAAGTTCATACTAAGAATAACGGTACTTCTAGCGCCGTGAACCGAGACACTAACACAGCCTATATACACTTCCATAAACTTTGCATAAGATGTTTTGTGAAGGTGGTCTAAGGTCTTCGTGTTAAAGTCAGAAAGATAGTGCGTGTTTGTTACAATCATAACTGGATTGACTATATTCAACTACAACCGAAGAGAGGTTATAAAAAGATTTTTTTATACTTCGTATGTATACTCAGAACAATTCAATGTTGTAAAGTCAGAAGTGCCCTGACATTCTGCTGTCGATAGATTTTACTTGAATATGCTGTTAAATATCTCTATCGTAACATTAAAAGGACAACTGTTGTATAAAATATTTTTCATTGAGAGAATAATTTTATGTGAATACTCTGCACTTTAGTTGAATATCTAGAGTATTTTTAATTTATATATGTAATAACAGATTGTGTTTTAACACCAATACCAAAGTGTATACTTTTGTTTTCATACTGTTCTATATAAATAATGATGTGTTATATAACATAACATGTAATTTTATTATTAACAAAATTCAAACTCAAAAGTTTATAGTATATTCCCGTAGTAGACGTTTTTATCTAAGAAACCTACAATGTGAATTTGGAAGTTACATTCCACTATTTCAGATTCTGTCCTCGAAACAAAAATTGTAAAATGTAGGAGATAGAAGATTTGAGAGATGTTGTCCTATATATATTATGCTCTTTTTAACGTTTTCCATTAAGGAAGTTCTAGTTTGTAAAAGTCACGTAGGTTAAGTTTTATTGTATGGATTTATCATACATATTGACTTGATTTAGGTTTAATTAAATAAATTGATGTATCAATATAAGTTGATTTGTTTTAATCTATTCATTCAGTTAATCACACTGATCTATTTATTTAATTTAACTTTTCCTTCGATCGTGTCCCGTCATCCCATGTGAATCTGCTTGCTTACCTACTGTTAATTCAATG